AAAAATTAAATTAAAATATAATTTTTTTTTAAATTAAAAAAATTTAAAATTAAAAAAATATAAAAAATAAAATAAAAAAATCAATAAAGTCACCTCCTACAAAAGATAACCCACAGAATAACTGGGGGTCTCAAATAACTGATTATGAAGACAACATGCTTTTGTTTTAGTCCTGTACCTTTCAAACATAAACCCATAGCAGTAAAACCAAAACCTCAGTATCATCTGATTACCTCCTGGGATTAATTTATTTGTTGTCTTTAAGACAATTTCTACCAGAAAAATGTAAGCAGTCCCCAAGCTACAGGCCACCGCCACTGCTGGATTGGAGCTTCCCAGCTGAGCTAACGCTGGCGGAACACATGACATATCCTAAATTCCTCCTCTGTCAAGAAGGTGGTTCTGCAGGTAAGGCTGATATTTTAATAAAGTTTTTCTACTAGCTGTTCCCTTAATAACAGGGGGTTAATATACACATATATGGGGGGTGGGGGAGTGGGTTTCTAGGGCTCTTGCCTTCCATTCGGATGCAGCTCACAAGGCTGTGTAATTTTCTAATTAGTAAGAAATATCTAATAGGATAATATAGATAACACAGATCTACACAGTCCAAGTGTAACTTGGAAAAAAAAAAAAAAAGTTCCTATGATTTAGAGGAGTGTTTTCACTTTGTGATTCAGTGTATCTGTTGTCAGACTAAAGGTCTTAAAGAACAGGACAACCGCCGCTGAGAACACGTTGCTGCCCGGGGAACGGGGCGTCCTTCCCAGGTAACGGCCGTTGCCCACAAACACACCGGCTAACTGTGTCGAGTCGGTGCTCCCGCACCTTCTGTGCTCTTCTTGTGGTCACAGCTTTGATGGATCGAAGGAAAAGAAAGGGGGTGGCTGCCCGGCGTGACCTAAACCACCCCCCGCTTCAGCAGAGGCGACCCCGCTTGGAGACTCAAATGTCTTTCCGCGTCCCGGGGGGCATCGCAGGGGCAGAACTGTGGTGGAATCCACCGGATCGCTGACTTTTACAACGCCTCGGCGCTTTTTTAGAAAAGCTTTCTTGAATTAGGCCATACTCACTCTACGCTTTCGGATAAAACGCTCACCGGCACGGCCGCGGGCAGCCGTCCGCGCTGGCGTGCGGGGGCGATCGCTTCTTTTTGACAAGAAACGTGAAGCCAGTGCTGCTTTTTTAACTCTTGGGGGAACAAAGCGGTGTTTAGAGCTCGGAGTTCCGCGCTCAGAGCCCGGGCACCCCGTCCGTTGGCACTCCCCCCCGTTCCTTGCCCCCCCCACCCCGCCCCCCCCCCCGCCCCGCCCCGCCCCGGGACTGTGAGGAGAGGGGGGGGGCTCCTGCCTTGCTCGTACCCGTCTGAAACAGCGACCTAATCTGATGCCGCACGGCATGGCGCACTGCCTCCGGGTCCGCGGGGAAGGCTCGCTGACTGGGCTCGGCCAGGAGACCCGCCCGCTCGCCCGGCGCCCGGCGGCGACCGCGTCTGGGGGCACCGGCCCGATCCGCGACCGCTGGGACTTGGGCGGGAACGCCGCGTCCGTAACCACGGCGACCGGACGCTGAGCCCCTCACCCGGGCAACGCCCCGCCCACCGCTGGCCGCCGACCAATGGGAGCCGCCGATCTGCCCGGGGAACGGCCCCCCGCTGGCAGCCGACCAATGGCAGCCGTCGCTCCGCACCGCCCCTTGGCGTCGCGGCTGGGCGGCCCCGTCCCCTCAGCGCGCGGCGGCGCGGCCCCGTCCCCTCAGCGCGCGGCTGCGCGGCGGGAGCGGCGGGGGGGGGGGCGGCGGCGGGGCGGCCATGGCGAAGCACACGGTGTCATCGGCGCGGTTCCGCCGGGTGGACGTGGGACGAGTACGACGAGAACAAGTTCGTGGATGAGGAGGAAGGAGGCGACGGGCAAGCGGGGCCCGATGAGGGCGAGGTGGACTCGTGCCTGCGGCAATATCCTTCCGCCGCCGGGCGGCAAGTAGTCCCGCGGGGCGCGGCCGCGGCGGGGAGCGGGGTGCGGGGCGAGGCCGGGGCTGGCTTTAGGGGAACGTCCGTGCCCGTCCGTGTGCTGACAGGAGGGCGGGAAGGGGGTAATCCGTGCGATCCGCTGAGGGAAGCGTTGCAGCCGCCGAACCCGAAGCGTTTTGGGTCGAGCGGCATCGCCGTGCTGGGGCTGCTGCTGCCGACTTGGGAATTCTCGGTGCCTGGTCCTTAACCCTCCGGCACAGGGAACACGATGGCCGCGCTGCAGGCGGCTCTGAAGAACCCTCCGATCAACACAAAGAACCAGGCAGTGAAGGTGAAATGGCAGCAAACTCACTCAGGGGTCACTCCTTAAAAATCCTTCCCTGTGTCTGTAACCCCGACCCCACCAACCCTGCCAGGGCGTACTTTGAGGAAGCTGGGTTTAGGGTATTCCCTGATTGCTCAACAGCCGGTGTTTTAGTTTCACCCCAAATCCCGCAGCTCGGATGCCACCTGTCCGTACACCGTTAGCTGGTGCTCGGTGAGGTTTGGCGCGCTCTCCCACCCGCGCTGGGTGTGGGTGCCGTGCCCTGGCTAACCCCGCGCGCCGCCGGGTGCCCGTGTCTGACCCAGCCCTGGCAGCACACGGATGGAGTCGGCGCCGAACGGTCGGGGAACCACAACTGCAGTTGTCACCTCTGACGAAGGAAACTCTGCTCGCTCCGCCAGACCGTGAACCTACAAAAAAGGAAGAACTGCTGGTTATTGCACCCAATCAAAATGCGGCCGTTAAAACCTCGGAAAACGCAAACCCTCCCCCCATGACAGACTGTAGGAGCCTGCTGCCTGCATGTATTTCTGAATCTCCCCAGAAAAAACCTGGAATGGCTCCTGACTGCAGCGGCGAGAGGAACAGGCAGATGAGCTGTGGAACTGCCTGACGGTGAGCGCCTGTGGAGGTCTGCTCTCCCCGCTCGAGGAGAGGCCCACGGGCACGTTTCCGTGCTGCTCACCAGGCCACCGGTGGAGATTTTTTTTTTTCAGCTAGCCCCAGCCCTTTCCTGAGGGTTTTCAGAGGGGGTTCTGAGATCCAGCTGCTTGTTACAAATGGTGCTGTACGAAAGATGGAGCAGCTTTGTCCCCACATTAACGGCTTGTTTCCATTAGATGTGTATTGATGTATTTCAGAATATGCTTGGAAGGCGGTGGAATTGAAGAGGGCAGAGTGACTGAATTGTAATGTTTGGCTTCATTTTCACTTGATCTCATGGAACTTTTATGTTTTTACTTATAGTTCTTCATGTGGGGTCTCGCTAAGCTGAGCAGCTGTGGGATGTAAAATTGAACGGGAACACTAACACCTGTAATTTCTGGAGGAGGAAGCTACTTGAAGCATTTCTATAATGGAATCATTCAAAAGTCCAACAAACCCAAGACCTTTTTCTTTCACCCTCCCTGAGTTAGTGATGGATGAACAGGAAGAGCTGCTTTTTGCTGATTACGTGGCTAATCTGCCGCTGTAATCATGCCACACACGTTCCTGGGTTTGCAGTGACATCCAGATCAACTTGCAAAGGGTTATTAGTGCAGAATATTAATGCTGCCAGGTTGCATCCTGCGTGCCTGGGACAGCTGACTCTCTTGAAAACCTGTGGCTTCCAGCAGTCACCTCTTCCAGGCTGGCTAATGGCATTTGCATGGAATAGAATACTTGTAGCTCATTATACAGTGCAAAGGCATGGAAAAGGCTCTGGTGGCAAGTACTTTATTCTTCTAATTCTTTTGGAGTTTACCAGACCTTGGGTTTTCCATGTGAAAATTTATATTGCGTAGCTGTAAACTCATGTAATAGGTGGCGAATTGCAAATGCCACCAGAGGGGCAGAAACCCCAGAGCAGGACAAATGCCTTAAACTCTTTTATGCTGTTTATCACTGGGAGGACATATCCATTATACATTATCATCACAAGCTTTGTGTGCAAACTGCCCTATTCAAACAGATCTTAGAATTGTTTTTTAAAAAAAAATATCTAGCTTTGTTTATGGGATTGATGGGTAATATTTGAACACACCTTATTCAAGAGTGAATGTATCTTTCCTTGCCTTGTTTGTTGACAGGACCGCGCAGAAAGTATTGTCCTGGAGGTCCTCATCTCTTTCAAAGCCAACGATATTGAGAAGGCGGTGCAGTCGCTGGACAAGAACGGTGTCGACCTGCTGATGAAGTACATCTACAAAGGCTTTGAGAGCCCCTCGGACAGCAGCAGCGCTGTGCTGCTGCAGTGGCACGAGGAAGGTGTGTTCGTAGGGCCTGCTCTCGCCGGGGTTATCGGCGGTAGCAGGTTCTGGGGCCCCAGGCACGCTCGCCGAGCCCGGTAAGAGCTGCCTTTCTGCCCGCTGAAACCAAAATGCTCCTGCAAGCTCGTGCGCCTGCTGCTCTTGATTCCTCGGGTGAAGATTCTACAGTTAAAATTTGGTTTTACGTTAGAGTGAGGCAAGCGAAATGTTTCAATCTGGTGATTCAAGCAGATGGAGCTGGAATTTCCTTCCTAGAGGGAAACAAAATCTGCAACTTGGTTATGCAGGGAAATAAAAGCCTGCTGAATAACTGCCTTCAAAGCGAAGGCGATCGTCCTTTCCTCGCACCCTGAGTGTGAGAGTTTCATTTTTAATGTAAAGAGCGGGGAGATGCTGGTTTGAAAAGCAGCCAGAGGCCGTTCTGGCCAGCAGTCAGTTTGGCCCGTAGCTGCTTTGATCTGCTGTTAACTGCTGTATTTCTCTTCCCAGGCCCTGGCTGCTGGAGGAGTAGGGTCCATTGTCCTGCGTTTTGGACTGCCAGGAAAACGGTTTAAATCCAGCAGCGAGTGGCTGTCCGCCACCCACGGCGTGGGAAATGCTGGTGCAAAAACCAAACCACCGAATGCCATTGCTGCCCCGTGGGCAGCGCCTGTCTCTCAGCTTGCCTTCTCGTTGCTTCTTTCGTACCCGATAAATAATGCATATCGTGATCTTTTTTTTTTTTTTTTTTTTTTGTTAAATTCTGGGAAATGATGAAGGTGCAATTTTATTTCTAACAGGAATATTTGGTACTCGCAGACATTTCAGTGACATGTAGAGCAACATACACAACTTCATGTTTAGGGTGATTTGCACTTGTGTATAATTATGGCAGATTTGGACCTGACTTTCCAAGCAAGTGCTGAGGGACGTAGGGCAATGTCTTAATTCTTTCCGCTAGCCAAGCACTGTTTTGATGTAAGATCTGTATTTGAGAAGTGGGGCAGCTATTACTGTAGGTAACTGGACCACGTTTACTTTGGTCAACCTCTGAACCTACAGCCGTGAACAGGACAGAAAGCAAAGGCTCCCTTCCCGCCCCAATTATCATTCCAGAGAGCCGAGTCTTTTCCTCAACCTCACGTCTCACGGCCTGTTCAGGTTCCTTGTGATCAGTCAGATGTTGGGTCCGCAGTGGGAAAAGTCACAACGGGATGAAGTTGTCTGTCGTGCAGTTTGGGTGGTAGCGTTTAAAAGGTCGGTGGTCCATTTAGACTGGAACCCAGCCCGGTGACCTCTCTTTAGTTTGGGGAGCAAAGATCCTGAAGAGAAGAGGAAACGGCAGCTTTCACACAGAAAAATCACCTTTCAGCGATTTGAAAGTGATTTGATTTTGTCAAGCACAACAAAGTGGCTGCCTGGGGTAATCTGAGAAACGCGTAGCGGTGTCCACGCCATCCTTGCAGAGCTCCCAGGTGTTGTTTTCTAGAGGCATAGGGTCCTAAAGGATACCGGAGAGTTCACATTCCTGTTGCACTGTGCCACAGCGTGTTAGCTAGCAGGGCGAATTGGGTTCTGGAATGAAGAGGAACACTTTAAAAAGAGTTAGGAAAGCCCAGGGCATCCCAGACCACAGATCACCATTGAAGGTTCAGGGCCAGGACTGAAATACATGTGTTTTACATTCACCACTTTACTGCAGTTCAGTTGTGTAAAACTGTTGGGGAACTTGTGAAATCTTCGCTGTTTTTTGATATCTGCTTTTTTTTGTAACAGTAATAAAGACGGGACAATAAATCATCACTGAATATTTCCTCGGTGTCTGAAATGCCTTCAGGTTTCAGCAGGCTGCTATTCCAGGATGGAGAACAGTAAAAAAGCAAGTCCTAAAACTCCCTGCTGTGATTTTTCTTGATGGGCTTGCTTCCTCGTGGCTATTTGTAGCCGTACGTAACGGCGATACATGCGCAGCTTCACCCAACTACAAAATCTGAGATTATTTTAGTGAGATATTTAAACAACAAAAAAAGTTCCAGACCAGGAGTACTAGAGAGGTCTCTGCCTACGCTAAAATTGGAGCCAGAGAGCAAGAGCCTCGTAGCCGTTGACGGTAGATGCTTCTCCAGAGCAAAGGAAAGGAAAGGGTAATGGCCTAGCAGGGAGGTTGTGCAGAGCAACGCTCCTGATTTCACACTTAGGCTTTTGTTTTTCCCTCTGCCTGCCCCACCTCCGAGAGATTAAACATTTAATTGTTGGTTTCAATAATTTAATCACGGATCTGGTCCCGGGCTTGTCCCGTGGGTGGGGTGACTGTGCGTGCCTGCGTCATCGCTAATGGCACCCGTACTCGGGCAGGGCCTGGGCGAGCAGGAACCCGCTGGTGTCGGGCACTCTGGTGCCTGAAGGCTGTCTCCTCTTCCCCAGCCAAGCCCCCGCTATGGAACAGCAGAGCTAGAGCCTCCAGACAGCTCGGGGCAAAGCGCTCCCCGTGCACCCCTGTGCTCCGGAATCAGGAAGTAAGACGTCTCCAGTAAAATCCCTTTTTCCCTCCATCCCACCCCCTCCTGGGTGTCCCAGGACAGCCCTCAGAGCGGGGCAGCGGAGCCCCGGCACCCGCTCCCCCGGGGTGCCCGTGGGGCAGGCGAGGGGCACAGCACCCCGCGTCCTCGGGGCCTCAACGCGGGCTGGGGCTGGCGTGGTTACCCCCCAACCGTTTGGTGCCCTCCCTCCCTCCCTGGGATGCTTTTTTTTTTCTTAACTTCTTCAGAATAACATAGGCACAATGGGAGGCACTGGCCACGCGACGTGGAAGACCTGGCCTTGCAGCAAAGATCACAGAAAACATCCAGGTTTTGACTGTATATACATGCATACATACATACATACATACATACATACATACATACATACAGCTCAGCCTCCCAGGCGTGTGGAGTCCTTACAGCTCTTCCAGGGACTGTGTCTGGCTTCTATGTTTCCTTCCATTTATGCAAATTTGGTTAAGACAGCAATCAATCCTCATTTAATAATAATAATAATAATAATAATAATAATAATAATAATAATAATAATAATAATAATAATAATAGCAACAACAACAACAACAATAATAATAATAATAAACTATTTAATTAATAAATAATGTAATCCCAGATAAGTGAAAAACATTTTCCAAAACAATCGATGTCAAAGCAGGTCAGCTACCTCTAGGTGGCGTTAGATAAACGAAGGCAGCAAGAGCAGCGATCTTCGAGTTCCCCACTTTCCCCGTGGGCTGGCCTATGGTGGATTGAGAAACGTTTACAAAACACATACATCATCTGCGTTTTCATTCGGGGATGTGCTAAGAGACACGCGCCGCTGTGGGGGCAGTAGCGCGTGATTTGCAGGCAGGCATCTCCCCTGGTCTCTCTGCCATTTGAGTGATACGACACGACAGGTTTCTAAGAGGAAAACAGAGAAAGGTGGGCAGGGAAGAGAAAAAGAATAAATCCCTAGCCAACTCCACCTTGCAGAACACATTTCCCCTTCCTACTACGAGGAGGAGGCCTTCGCTGCAAAACGCTCTACGTGCAGCTCGGAGCTGCTCGAAGGGGGACGGCGTTTGCAGGGCTCTGCCGGGAAGGCTCGGCGCTTCCGAGGCTCGCCGGCAACCCCCCAGCGCGCCTTCGGCCTTGGCCGGAGCGTGTGGCAACGGCACCTTATCACTCACACCCGGCTTCCTCACGGCCCGGGGCGCTGAGCCCCACCGAGCCCCTGAGCCGGGCAGCGCCCGGCCAAGGAGCCGCCGCCGGCTCCTGCCCCGCAGGGACCGAGCAAACCTCCTCCCAGGGAAGGAGCCGGGCACGCTCAGCCTCCTCCGCTCCTCCTGCGTCACAGATCTCCTCCCAGACGAGATCAAGCCCCTCAGGTCTTTCCTCTTGTGTAATGTTTATAGTGCCTGGATCAGCCTTTTTTTGGGGGGGGACGACTCTCCTCGCCTGAAACGATGACAAACTCTTGCGCAGTGTTGCTGTACAAACTTAAAAATGACTCCTGCAGCTTAGCTGCATTGGGGGCGTTTCTAGGTATTTCTTTCTTACCTGTCTCTTGGCGATCTGCGACTGTGCCGGATTCCAAGAATCTCCCACAGGAGGTGCCGCCACCTCCGTTACTTCCTCTTGGACGTTATTGGAAGAGAAACAAGTTTGCCTAATAAAGCAACTTGGTAAGAGAAAGGGGAACAAGAGACTCACTCTTACTGTTTATCGCACCTTTGGCATTGCTTGGACGTTACGTTAAAAATAACCAGGCGGAAGGATAGCTGCTCTGAGCATTTGCTGTGCTTGCATCTGTCAGATTCTATCTTGCTGTGAAATGCAAGGAAAAAAACCCAGCACAAAACCCAGGGGTGATCTCGCACCCTGCTCCAGCTCCCCTTGTACCAGTTTTGGGCTCAACCTGACCCTACCGGTGTGCCAATTCAGATAATTAAAGGAGCAGAAAATTATCCGTACAGTAAGGACCACTTCCTATGAGATGGGGTCTCGCCTTCCTCAAAGGAATGAGAAAAAGCACCTCAGAGGAGTGTTTTCCTGCTCACCACGCTGTTATTCCCACCCCTCTCCTTCAGCATCGCTTCGGCTGGTTGCGTTTCCCTCTGCTTTTCCAGAGGTCGAAGAGTCTCCTGGTCCCACGGGAGCTGGCTGGGTGCGGGGGGATGCCAAGGGCACGCTTACAACCGAGAACCAAGGAGAGCCTGAGGCGCAGGGATGCGCTCCCTCCTCCTTTTGGATGAAAACCAAGTCCTTGCTCTTCAGCAGCTTGGGTTTCCTCCCGAGCGGCCGTCAAACAAAAGCCTCCTCCCCAGCCTCCCTCCTCTTGCTGGCATCACGTAATCTGCGGCGGCAGCGTGAGGAAACGCGCGAGGGCCACGTCTTGCGGACAGATTTTAAGCTCTTCCAAAATACGCATCGCCAGCGCTGGGAGATGGGGCGGAGGCAAAAGCATTTCCAAAACGACTTAGGAACCCACGTGTGGAGCACCCAGCTCCGAACCGCCGGAGCCAGCGGGTCAGAGCCCTGCTGACCCTGCCTTTGGGGCTGCCCCGTGCCCAGCCTCCCCCCTGCCCTCCCGGGTCGCGCTCCGTTGGCCATGAAACACCTCGTCAGGAATGATGCTGGGCCGAGTGCGAGTTGTCACATCCCGGGGCAGCTCCGCGCGCCCCAAGGCAGCGGGGTCGCTCCCTGGGGGGACGGGCAGGAGGAAAGGATTGCCAGGCTGTGCCTTGGGCCCTGCTCGGCCCTCCCGCTTGGGCCGGCGGGAACCGTTTCGCAGTTCCCTCCGCCGAGGGCCACGCTTCGGAGGGCACGAGGGGCTCGGCTGCAGCGCTCCCTCGGCGGCACTGCAACCTTAAATTTGTCCCGATCAACCAGCTGGCCGGCAAAAATCCGTGGCTTTTGTCTGAACAAACAGGAGAAGCAGAACCCGAGGGGGTGAGGAGCGGCGGCCGGAGAGGACCTGGCTTGCAAGCGGTGGAAACCCGCTGCGGCGGAGGCAGCCTCTGCTTCACTTCCCCAGCCCGGGGCCGCGTTTCAGTGATGCGAGTGAGGCCACTTCCTGCCAGGTTTGCGACACGGGCAGCGGGGAAGGCAGAAGGACGGGGAGAAGGGAGCTCGAGAGAGGCCGAGCCGCGCCGCAAGGGAGGACAAAGAGAGGGGGGCGAGCCCCAGGACGCAGCCGGGGACCCCGCGGCGTCCCGCTCCCACCGCGCCATGTCCCTGGTGGAGACGATCCGGTTGTGGCAAGAAGGGGTGTGCGCGGCGGATGGGAAGGAGTGGAGGGCAGCCCTGGATGCCTTCACGGCCGTCCAGAACCCCCCTGCCAAAATCTGCTTTAACATCGGCTGCATCCACCTTGTTCTGGGGAAGCTGGCCGAGGCGGAGGAGGTAAGGTACACAGTCGCTACGCCCTCAGTTTTTTAAAGGTCTTCTTCCCTTTTTACCCCCCCCTCCCACACACACACTTTTTTGCCCCACTCCTACCTCCGTGCAGGTGTTCACCCTGGAGCATCAGCTGCGACAGGCACCTGGCAGTGGCTTATTTCCAGCGGGGGACTGTGTTTTACCAGAGGCAGAAGTGAGTGGAAGAGGTTTAAAGTTTCATTTCTGGGGAGATGCCAGCCTTTGGCTGAGGACAGCCCCAGGCTGGTTGGTAGCCCAGGGGCCAAACTGCAACCCCTCGAGGTAGAACAATTTCCTCTTCATCAGCAGTGCAGTCTTGGGATTAACACCAGCCTTGGAGCACCTCTCCTCCCCCTGGGGTGTCTGAAAACACTGCAAGGAAAGAGGAGAGCCCCAACTAAACTCGCACAAGTTGAAGTAAAGACTTAGAGGCAGGCAGGTTGCCACCACGAGGCAGTGACACCCTTGTCCTCCACTCCACAGCCATGAAAAGGCCGTTGAGGATTTCAAAGAGGCACTGGCCCAGCTGCGAGGCAACCAGCTCATCGACTACAAGATCCTGGGGCTGCGGTACAGGCTCTTTGCTTGCGAGGTGAGAAAGACTTGACCGACAGTTTGGATCCCAAAGGTCTGCTCACCAGCTCAAGAAATCTAAGGAGAAAACAGCCAACCTCTCCTTGCGCCTTGCCAAAAAGCGAGCAAGCTGACGCAGTGCCACTGCCCTGCTGCCCTCTCTTTTACCACGTTCCCGGCCACGGGTTGGCTGCTCTAAGAGCACATTTCCTTGCTCCCATCCCTCCGGCAGATCCTCTACAACATCGCGCTGGTGTACGCCACGCTGGAGGACTGGAGGAAAGCTGAGGAGCACTTGACGCTGGCCATGAGCATGAAGAGCGAGCCCCAGCACAACAAGCTCGACAGGGCGATGGAAGCCATCCTGGTAAGGAGGAGCAGGTCTTACAGCCGCCGTGTTTGCTGACAGCAGGGAGGAGGGAGAAAAATCCCCAGTGATGGAGAAAGCGACTTCTAGCTACGGCTTTAGCAGAGCTGGAGAAAAGCACAGCAGGCTGGCTGAGCAAAATGTGGGTGTTGCAGTGAGACACAACTTGGTGGGAAGAGCTTTGGGTCACAGGGGGAGGCAGGAAAGGGAAGGCTTGGTTAAATTGGACCATGTGAGGGCTGGGGTTGGGCTGTCATAGTGGTGTTTTGGCTTTACGGAGCGAGACCTTAACCCCAGAGGTAGAAGGAAGGCGACATTAAGCAGTCACCTCACCTCTGAAGAGCGTGATGACTTCTCTTGTGCTACAGAAGCAGAAGCTCTGCGAGCTGGTGGCCATTCCCACGGGGAAGCTGTTTAGACTGAACGAAAAGCAAGTGGCTCAGCTGGAGAAGGACTACCTGGGAAAGGCTATGGTAAGAAAGAAATATCTCATTTATTCAGGCCAAGCCTGTGGGCTGAGGAGAGCTGCCGGCCACCCTCTCACCCCCGCTCTGAGCAGGTACCTGCTGCCTGGTGGGCAGCCAGAGCTACAGGAGCCGGTCCAGTGCCGCAGGGACCCCCCCGGAGTGGAGAGAGGGATGGCACATCGAGGGTCTCATGGGGAACAGGGACTCTGCAAGAATAGAGTTGCTAAAAACATGTTTCTGCAGAGCATGACCTATTTTCAGTTTCTCTCCTTAGTGGGACATGAGGGACAAGATTTTTTTCAAGGAGGAGGTGGGGGGGGGGGGGGAGGAAGAAGCTATTTAGCATTTGACACCCACAAATTACCTCCAGTTCTTCCCCTGCTCCATCTGAAAGGGGCTTTTCAGCTCCAAGAAGTGAGGAAACCTTTCTCCCATGAGTATGCAAAATCCAAGCACTGGGATATCGCCCCTGGGCTCCAGTCCTGGGAGGAGCTCTCCTCTGGGAAGGGAACCGTCGGCCGTGCAGGCACAGGGAATCGGGTGACCGAGAGCCAGGCAGCCCCTTGGGTGTCAGGGGAACCCCAGAAGCACGCACACAAACATTTATTAACTTTCTAAATTATGTTTAGAAAGCTAATAAACACCTATAGGAGGTAAGGGCTTGAACTGGACGCTTTGGCTCCCTTCAACATTTGTGATTAAAACATGAAGGGAAACTTTTAGGTTGTGGCAACCCTAACCACAGTAACAGTGAGGCTAAGAGCTGAGAACTTACCACAGCTGAGAGGTGAGTTTTGGTGCCAGAAGCACTCAGACTGTAATCAAAGATGCTTTGGCTAATGTCACAGCCCCTCTTGAACCTGAAGCATCCTGAGGAACTTGGCTTGGCCGGCGTCAGAGGTCTAAGAGAGGTCTACAAGCACCAAGTCGCTACCTGTCTGTCTTTGGCTCTAGGTGGTGGCATCTGTGGTGGACAAGGATGACTTTTCGGGATTTGCTCCACTTCCCTGGGGAAGAACAGGGCAGGTGGGTTGAGGAGCACTTATGTGCATGGGGTCTTCTCCACCTTGCCAGGCTTGGTTGCATCCCATCACATTAGTATGGTGGTTAATGCAATCTCATGGCCACGCTCTCCACATCTTCCTCGTGGTGCTACCTTTAGGCAAAAGGAAGGGCCACAAGGTCATTGTTCAGTGGAAAGGTGCCACGAGAAAGCTTTCACCGTGACTAGAAAGTGGCAGAGGGGTATATGGTCAAAAAGGCCAGATCCTTAGTACTGGGGTCAGATGGATGGGATCGGGGCTTTGGGCAATGTGTAAAGCATCCAAGAGCCTCCCAAGCGAGCACAAAAAAGCAAGTGTGACACATGATGACTCAGTCGAGGTGACCTAATCGGTTGGCAGCAGGTCTGCTGGCACCTAAGGAGCAGACAGGCCAGGCAGGGCTTGCTCCTCTCTCCTGGACCTGTCCAGAGGGACGGACAGCAACAGAGCTGCATTCCCAGATCCAGCCTGAGATGCTACGCCTCCCAGGTGCTGGTCACTAGCGCTCAAATTTCTGCCCGCCGAGTAGTTCTGCATCACCACTCTCTAATCTGCTTCAGGGAAAAATCAACACGGTTAGTTTATGTAGGTGCTTTGAGCTACCACCTTGGGTGATTTTGCCTGAAGCAGATTAGGAAATGCACACCCCAGCTGCTCCCCACGAAATGCTGGTCAGAAGAGTTACAATAAGAAACTACAGGTGTCTGTATTTTAATAGAGCACCGCACCCTGAGGCATGAAGTTAAAGCAGTTATACAAGAGATTAAAGGTCTTTTTATAGTCAGGCTTATTTATACAATTAGATGGCAATTTTTATAATTAAGTATTTGGGATTTTTTTTTTTTTCTCCAAAACTGTGTTTAACTGGAAAAACAAAAGCATATGTTTAACATTTAAACTTCCTTAATTGCTTTTAAATATCACTACAAATTAAACGGTGTTTATTTGCAGGGTGATTGACAAGCAGCACTAAGACGTCACCTCTCCAGCTGAGCAGGAAGGCGGGCAAGGGGAATAGCACAGCAACCCAAATTCGCCTTGCACCAGCTGATTTTATCCTCCCTGCCTCCCCACGTGCGTGTGTGTACCTTTGATGGCCCCGTGCCTGCTCCTGCCTGTTTTCCTGCGTGGGAGTTGCCGAATCGCAGCCTCATCCCGCGGTGGAGCAGCAGCCAGCTCCCTGTAGATCAAACCTCCTCGTGATGAGGCGGGGGAAGAGTCCTGGTCCCTCGAAAGAGCAAAACAAAAAGCAGTTAAATGAAACCCAAACGTTGGTTGGGGTGGGTTTCCCGTGGAGCACAGCTGCCACCCCTCTGCCTCCTTCCCACTCGTGGCTGCGCTGGGAGAAGATGGAGAACTTTGGGATCGTTAAAATCTCATCAGAGCTGCTCGCACGCCAAAAACCTGACAACAGCACTGGAATGGCCATTTCAAATCGGTCAGTCCAGCCACCGCAAACACAAAATCCAGGGAGTTAAAGGCGGTTTTCTCTGCTTTCATGTTTTGCATGAAAGGAATTATTTACTTATTTATTTATGTTGTGACTCAGAGTATTTTAAAATTATACAGCAAGTCTGGTCTGGTTGTTTCATGATGCATCAGCGGCCAAAGTCAATTTTTGGAAGGTAGAATCCAGTGAATAAAAGCTGCATGCATTATTCTGAGCCTTGTTTAAAAGATTAGGGTTCAGCACAGACAGGGAAAAAAGAAAGGGAGAAAAGGGGCTGCCCATGCTTGGGAAACAAACTCCACAGAGCGAGATAGTGCCAAAGGACAGGAGCAATACCTACAGTAGAGATATCTTCCCATTCTCACTAGAAATAATGTGTTAGAAATATTGGATTAAAACAATAGTATTCTCACACTTCTCATAACAAGTCAAGCCCTGTTCAACTGAGAGGCTGAAACAAGCCACTGTGCCACAATAACATGCCAGCCAGGCTTTTGTAAACCTTTTTTCTTTCTCTTGTATGTCTGCATTAGCCTGAAATAAGTCAAGATACTTAAATCATAACTAGCTGACTTTGGAGCAAACCAAGTCAGTCGTGCAGAAGCTCTTACGGTTCTCTCCCTATCACTTTTTCAGGCCATCAGCATTCACACGGGTATTTTTTAATCTGTGTGACTGTTTTATCTGATTCCTGGTATGAAAGTCCTTCCTTCTTCAGGTTAGCCTTTTGGAAGCATGCTCAGCTGTTTTGAGAGAGGCCAGATCAAGGATCCTAAGCACAGGCTTCAGAACTGACTTGAGGAACTTTCCTAAGTGATTTAATTTGGACCCCAACTTGGCTGCTTACACAACAGTTCCAGGGCTGAAAGAGAGTTGCTCATGAAACAGACTTCCAATTCCTCTCCTGTTGAGACGGGACATCACCCAAACCTACCTAACCTTTATTTAAAGGGAGTGATGGATGCTATTTGTTCTCCATGCCTAGAAGTTGACACACTTCCTTACAGATAACCCTCTCGATGCTTTCCCTTCAGGGCTGTAGGCAACTGCTGCAGAATACGGGGTGAATTTCTCTCTCTGCTTTCGTTCAGAAGGCTGTAGCACCGTTCGGTGGCAGTAAATTCAGGAGGCAACCAAAAGGAGCACAACTCTGAACGGCAGCCCTCGGGGCCAGAGTCGTCTTGGCAGAGGGGGAACCTGTGTTACCCCATCTGCAGCTGGCAGGGCTGCGGATATTGCACCTGGAGCACAACCAGAGGGGTTTGGGGAGGGTGGGGAGAGAGAAGCCCAGCCATTTTGGGGCTAAGCTAGTCACATGTCGACTCTAATCCTATTTCCATGAGTGCTTCCAGTCTTGGAAGCCAGATCCATCTGTAGGAATTTTTTAAGTGCCTATAAATACTTTCCATCTCAAAGCTTTTTACAAACAGCCATGCTGGGTCTGCACCGAAATCCCTTCCCTGATTGCTGAGATAGGGCTCCCGCTTGAAAATGGAGCGGCTGCTTGGCCAGCTTACTGCTCCCCCATGCAGCAGCTTTGCACAGCATATTAAATATTGATCTCAGCAGAGATGAAAGTATGGAGCTCGAGGGAGGGTTGACGTGGGTAGTTAGTTAAGTAAAACCATACTGCAATTTGGCCCCGGTCCTGAAATGCCCATTATTTTGAGAAGTGAGATGGTATCTTTAAAGCCCTCAATACACTAGAGCTTGAACTTCCTCTAGGATGGAAAGCATCTCCAAAGAAGGAGCAAGGGTCTAACACTAAGGTCGATCAAACATCATCATTTCTTCAGTGGGAAAATGATTCCTGAACACAGCATGACACTAACGGTATCCAACCTCACTTACCCACAAAAGCAAAGATCAACTTCCCCTTGCAAACAGCTCTAGCAACCACTGAGCCTGTATGACTTCTCATTTCTACTGCACATTCTGTCCCTGCTCAGCCCAATCTTGTTCAGTTTTCCCTTCTGCAGACGATGAAAACATGAGAGAATTAAACATATTATGATCCTTGGAGGAAATTAATTAGCCCAGGCAATTCTCAAGGTGAATAGTGCACTTCCAGCACTCATGTTCACTGTATTTCAGGCAGTGTCTGGGAAACGGGAGTGCTCTCTAACTGCCATCATCTCCCGTGCAACGCCAGGCTGCCCTCACATCACCAGGAGCCTCCTCAGTAACCATCCTCTTATTTCTGATCTTTACCCCTGTGTGTAAATGGGGATCCTGTGCTCAGCTGGAGCAAAAAGGGAAACTTAGCCCTTTTTAATTGAGATGCTCTCAGCCCAGAAGTAAATACAGAACACAAACACAGTAAGGCATCTCAAGACACACTCCTGAGAGCCAGACAGTAAACTGACTCACAGCAAGAACAAACAAAACACAAAGTTGTTGCTCTGCATATTCAAAAAGCACATTTACAATTAGACAAACCTTTCCGCTCTTGCATTTTTAAACAACAGTCCAGACTGGAAGGGAAATGGTAAGTGTCCTGACTTCACCTCGGCATGGAGCAGCTCCCTCCAATGGTTCTAGCTGTGCAGAAGAAAGTCCTTTGGGAAATTAAATCCATTACAGCAATATTCTTCAGATCTTGTAGAATATTCTTCATCGTCTTCTTTTTGGAAAATGTGCTTTTATGGGTTTAGCTTCAAGATTTGAAAGAAAAAAATAATTATTTCTAATAGAAAATATATAAGGGATTTTTATTAGGGCTTAGGAAAAGATGAAACTTCTGACTAGAAAAAGATTAATGTTTTCTCTAAAAGAGGATATGAAGGAATCTGATTACTGACCTGTAGTATCAGGACCAAGGTACAGCAAGACCTGCAGAATGTCCCTCCATATGTCTCCACAGGGTGTCAGTGTTATTTCAAATTTGGGTCATTTTACACTGGCATCAGACTAATATTCTCACCACGTTATTTTCAGGAGTCTGCTCCCCAGACAGCTGCTGCCACCTCAGCCTGCTTGTTACAGAGCTCCCCCTCTCCTCCCAGAGCCAGCACTAGATTTCTTAAATCAGGGAGGTAGAAACGCAAAGTCATGGTGGTCTGGAGATAACAGGAAGATTTCAGAGGGATTTGAAACAGGGTTGACATCCGCCACTCCAAACCTGCTACGTTTGCTGGTGGGATTCCCAGTTCGTGCTGGGCGATGATCTTTCAGCAGGTGATCCAGAGCTCTTTCACAGGCCCCTACCCAGGGCCGTACGTCCTTTCCCCACAGAGCCGTAGCCACGACGAACATCTCTGCCGCTTCAAGAGACTGCTGCCACCCCTTCTGTGTTTTAAAGCCATTTGAGAGCTGACTCCGAGGCAGAATAAAGCTGTCCAAGCTGACCCTTGCCAAAAATTATTTTCCAGACACGTTACTAATACGGCTGTGCTGAAACAAGGTCCCACTGTACTCTGGCAGCTGTGGCAGCTGTGCGGAGCGACACACAATAGCCCCACCGACCCGGGCACTCCAAGGGACCGCACGAGGCAGCTTCGGTCCCCCTGCGGGGGCTCTGCTGGGATGCCCTCCAAACCGACGCGCCCGTCCTCAGCCCCGTTCTTCCCCTTCCCATTGTCCAGCCGACCCCCTGCAATACTTCTACGCATACAATAGGCTCCCCTTCTAACCTGTGATTTTGGGAGAGTTACTGGAGGCACACCTCAGTTGTATGTCCAACAGGGGTGAACCCTGGGTCAGGAAGTTTTTACAATGATTAACTACTCAGCATTGCAGTTGCTTATCATATGATTCTAAAATGGGCCATTTCTTACCGATATGAAGGACATCACCCCAAAGAACTCTTCCTGAAAGCAATACTCAAGAATATGCTTGGGAGAAGCAACAAACAGGGAGCATAGTGTGTGCTTAGCCCTGCAGAGGACACGCTCCGCCCTCGATATTAGGCAGCACTGTGACAAACAGTAGGGTTTTTCAGCAGAATCACCAATTTAAGTTGCTCCACCATGCTTCTCGCTACTTATCCTTCCATCCCTGTTGCCAGTCCTTCAGTTGTGCCAATACAATAGCCTGCGAGGCCATACAGTAAACTGAATTGCAGATCTGAGCTTAAATAAAAATAATCTGGCAATGAAGTAAGTATATACTTAACCTAGATTAATTATCCCATCTAATTCACCAGCTGGCTGCACAGTAGTTGTGCCAGCAGGAACAAGCATGGGGGGAGCGGCGGGTGGGAAGGAGATGATGGACACTCAAGTCAGGGCTGTTGACTACAGCGATGCTCAGTCTACACCCCTGGAGTTTGACCCACATTAGAATAACAAAGAGATGAACCCCCAGATGTCCAAAAATACCTCCGGGTCCGATTTCTCAGAGATTTCAGGACCTTCTTCTTCCTCCTACACAAGCAACCAGCTTACTTCCTCGGATGAATGTGTCCCAAGCTCTGCAAGCTGCCAAGCTCAGCGGTTGTGAACAGGCAGCTGGACTCCTCGTCTCCAAGTTGACACTTCACAAGTGGGGTGGTGCGGACCCCCTTGGGCCACATTGCCATGTCAGGACCAGCCAACACTATGTTCTTGTCTTGGTTACGGGTGCAGTGGGCTGGGACAATCTGGAACTTCCTTATCTTGGTTATGAGTGCAGTGAGCTGGGACAATCCCGGTACTTTCTTGCCCTGGCTACAAGTACAGGGAGTCAGGACGATTAGGCACTCCCTAGCCGTGCCTGAAACTCCTGCCGCCTGGATTGCAGCCCACTCTGGAAGGTGGCAGAATCACCTGACAAGAATTGTGGCCAAAATGAAAAAAATACCAGAGTCAATCGTCTCATGATCCTGTATAATTAGCAATCGTAAGTGAGACTCTTTGAGCTCTCCTGGACTGCAGCAGGCTGTGACTCAGTATCTCCCTCGGAGTCAGGACGCCTCTCGGGGCAGATTTCGTGAGGATTTTAAAGAAGAGATTTCATGAAGGCTTCCAAGATTGTCTGCTGATAGATGCTGACAAAGAGAAAGGGTTCAAAGATCATCTGCTGACAAATGCTGATGAAAGAAAACAGTAATTCACTACAATTAGATTTTGCAAAGTTCAAAGATAATTTGTTACCAGTAATTTACTATCATAGGTTAACCTCTATATCCCTATGTGTGTGTGTGTATTTGATCAGCAAAAGTTTATAGTGTTGATTATAACAAATTTTGTTAAACCACCCTTATCATCAGTCGATGATTAAATATTGTTA